GCATCTGCTGGGAAATTTAAGCACAGATGTGACCTAATGTGAAATATGTCTTTGGTGCTATGTTCAGACTAGACTGCAGAGGCTGCCCAGTTGGAAGAAAGGGCAGGCAGCAGGTTATTATAATAATGACAGCAGCCCAAAACAATGGTGGCCTGCACACAAGAAAGGTATGTTAGGGATGTGTGGTAAGATGTGGTAAGATTCTGGCAGATCTAGCAAAGCTGATATAATAAGTGTAGCGCATGAGAGAAAGAAAGGAGTCAAGAGAACTGCAAGATTTTTGACCGTGAGCTGGCAGTGTAGCTGGCTTAGCATGTTCAAGACCCTGGTATGGGACTGGGAGCAGATTTTTGGCTCAACAACTAGAGGGACACAGTTGCCGTTTACCAAGATGGGACTACTTTGGAGGAGTAGTTTGAGGAGGACACATACACACACACACACACACAGACCATGGCAGTGGAGTAAGTACAGAGAAAAAACGGGGAAGAATTCTGAAGACTGAATGTTTAGACATCAAGGTAAGGCAATGAGGAGGAACCAGCAAAGCCCATAGAGCCCATAGAGCAAAGCAATAAATTAAGATGAATTACACATGAGAACAAGTCATATCTTGCAATTGGACAATGTTCTCATACCACACATTCCTTTTATTTTACGGATATGTATTAAAACAGTTCCTTATTCACTTCCTTTGTCTGATGCCCAATGAGAATTCACAAACATGAGGTTTTGACGGAATCTGGTTATAACTTCCACAATGTACATTTAGATCCCCCAAATTGTATTTGTTGAGTTTGTTAGTTTCACTATTTATCAGTAAGAAAGACTTTTATCTTGACTATGAAATTCATGAACATAACATGCAAAATGATGTTATTATTAATAGCAAGATAGGGCCTGTTAGAATTGCATTCATTATGTGGGAGTCAGCTAAAAATAATTGACAAGTTTTCTTTTAGGTTAGGTAAAAGACTCTAGCCTCAGACTTTGGAAGAAGATAAACAGAGGTATAGGAACCAGGTGTTGAAAATACATTAGTTTAATTAAAGGGAAGGATGGAGAAAGTCCTTGAACTGATTATATAATCATTGTTAGGAAGTAATCTCTAAAATGTCAAAGATCTGGCTGGGGATGTTGCTCAGTTGGTAAAGTGCTCGCTTAACATGCCTAAAGTCCTGGGTTCCATCTCTAGCACTACATAAACCAGGCATGGTGCTGCACACCTATAATCCCAGCACTCAGAGGAGAGAGAATCAGCAGAATTAGAATTTCAAGGTTGGGCTGAAGAGGTAGCTCAGAGGCTAAGAGCACTAACTGCTCTTGCAGAGGATCTGGGTTCAGTTCCCAGCTCCCACATGGTGACTAACAACCATCTGTTAACTCCAGTTCCAGACACCCTCTACTGGCCTCCATGGGCATTGCATATACATTGTACACTTACATACATGCAAGCAACACACTCATACACATTTTTAAAAAAAGTTCAAGGTCATACGTGGTTACTTAGTGAGTTAGAGGCCTGCCTGGGATACATGAGACCCTATCTAAACAAACTGTCAAATATCTAAGTCTTCTCTCTTCTTGTCCTTTCAGGGATAAAAAATGCTGTGGAAATTGTACCAACATTGCAAGAAGGGAATTGACTACACATTTTTCTCATATTCATTTCCTCTTATCCTCTCCTGTCCCCCTCTTCCATCCCATACCCCCTAATCCTCTTTCTCTTCCCAACTGGCTGCTCTTCTACTTTCATGCGTTGTGTGGGACTCAATGAGTTCCACTGGGGTTACTTACAGATCATGGGTGAGAGTTGGTTTATAGGAGTGTGGGCACCTAACCAATGAGTATGCTACTGAAGAAACATGGCTTTCCCTCCCTCCCATCAATCTTTAACTGCCTATAAAATTCTCAGGGAGGGGAGGGACTCCATGAGCCCCCCCTACTTTTATATTTTCAGGAGTGACACATTTTAGCACAGTACTTTTTAAACACAATTTAGCAACATGAATGGGGAACCACAAAATATACTTATTGAAAATGGTATAGCCACCATGGAAACTGGTTTCTAGGTTCCTTCTAAAACTAATCATACAACCATATAAATCAACAAGTGCTCTCATTCCAGAGAAATCAGAATTTAATTTACATAAAACCCCATATATATTTGTTCACAGCAACGTTATTCATAATTGCCCCAAACTGGAAACAACCCATATGTCTTTCAGAAGATGGTTAAACAAACCATAGATATTTGGCAGAAAACGGAACAAACTATTGATATATACAACTTGGATAATTGCCACAGACTTACAGAGTTAAAACAGCAGCCAAGAAGAGATGGCTCAGTGGTTAAGAGCACTTACTTCTCTTCCAGAGGACCTGGGGTTCAGTTCGCAGGACTGACATGGTGGCTAACAATGGTCCTTAACTCCAGTTCCAGGGATGCCCTCTTCTGGCCTCCATGAGCATTGCATGCACATGGTACACTTACATATATGGAGGCAGCATATTTACACAGATAAAATAAAAATAAAAAGCAGCCACAAAAGCCAGGCATGCTGCTGAATGCCTTTAACCACAGCACTTGGGAGGCAGAGGCAAGTATATCTCTGTCAACTCAGGGCTAGCATGTTCAAGGTCAGTCAGGGTTACACAGTGAAACCCTGTCTCAAAAATGGGGGGAAGAGGGAAGCAATCACAAGAAGTCACATACTGTATGATTCCAATTCTAGAAAACTGTTGAAATAATGAAATTACAGAAACAGAGAACAGATTAGTGGTGGGAGGAGTGGGGCGAAGGGAGGTGTAGATCTAAAAGGGCAACTAGAGGGATCCTTGTGGTGTTGAAAATGTTTTGTATCATGGCTATAAAAATGTCAATATTCTGATTTTGATATAATTGCTAGATCTTCCTACCGGGGAATAAAGTAAACAGAACTTGGTATCTGTCTGCATTATTTTTCTTAATATTTTTTAAATTATTTTTTATTTTACGTGTATGCATGTATTGCCTGCATGTAAGTGCACCCGTGTCGTGCAATGCCTGAGGAGGACAGAAGAAGCTGTCAGATCCCCTGGAACTGGAGTTATGGACAACTGTTAGCTGCTATGTGGGTCCTGGGAGTCGAATCTGGGTCTTCTGCAAGAACAGTCAGTGTTCTTAACTGCTGAGCATCTCTTCAGCCCCAAGATTAATATTTTTTAATTATGTGCATATATGTCTGTATGTGGGTATGTGCTCATGGGTGGAAGAGGTGTCTGAGGAGGCTACAGACATCGGATCCCCCTGGGGCTGGAGTTACAGGCAGTTTTGAGCTTTCTGCAGTAGGTGCTGGGATCTGAATTCAGGTCCTCTTCCTCTGGAAGAGCAGTATGTGCTCTTAACCACTGAGCCCTCTCCAGTCCTTTGCATTATTTTTTATAACTGCATGTGTGTGACCTCGAAGCAAAGTTTACTCTAAAAATGTACATCTTCTGGAACTCTTTTCTAGGGATATAATGTACTAGATGTTCCCTAGTTATTTACAGCAAGGAAAAGAAATGATTGACCTGCCCAAAGAAATAGCTAAATCACAACATACAGCCTCCTGTGTATTAGTCGTTTGCTGCAGGAACAAAGAAAAGATATTGTCACAAATATTGTATCGGAGAGATGGCTCAGCAGTTAGCACTGACTGCTCTTGCAAAGCACCCGGGTTTGGTTCCCAGCATCCATATGGCATCCACTAACAACCATCCATAACTTCAGTTCCAGGGGATCCAACACCCTCTTCTGACCTCCACAGGCATTACACAACATGGGTGTACTTAACAACCATCAGTCAGAGAGATGGCTCAGTGGTTTAAGAGCACTAGCTGCTCTTGCACAGGACCCGGGTTTGGTTCCCAGCACCCACATGGCTGTTACCAACCTTAATGTAACTCGTTCCAGGGGATCCAATACCCTCTTCTGGTCTCCACTGGCACTGCATACATGTGCTTGCACTTACATGCAGGCAAAGCACTCATACATATAAATTTTTAAAAGTTATTTTATTATTATTTATTTATTGGTCTTTTTTTGAGACAGGGTCTCCCTGTAGCCCCAGCTGGCCTGGAACTCTCTAGGTAGACCAGGCTGGCCTTGATCTCACAGAGATCCACCGGCCTCTGCATCCCAAGTGCGCCATTACGCCCAGCTTTATTGTTTTTATGTGTACGAGTGTATTGCCTGTATGTATGCGAGTACACCCGTGTTGTGCAATGCCGCACAGATCAGAAGAGGGCTTCGGATTCCCCTGGAACTGGAGTTAAGGACGGTTCGTATCTGCCATGTGGGTGCTGGGAATCGAACCCGGGTCCTCTGCAAGAGCAGTCAGTGCTCTTAACCGCTGAGCCATCTCTCCAACCCCAG